GGTCGCTTCCGACCCTTAATCTATGAATCTATGAATCTATGTTAAAAGGTCTGGAAGGCAAGACACATGAGGAGAGGTTGAAGGAAATAGGAATGTTCAGCTTGTGGAAAAGGCAATTAAGAGGGGATATGACAGACTTCACATATTAGAAAGATGAAAACGAATGACTTATCTCTCTAGTTGTAGAGAACAGAAAACAGGCTGGTGGGTTGAAGCTGCAGCAAAGTAGCATTAAATTGGATATCAGAAACAACTTCCTCACTGCTAGAACAGTGAGGCAGAGGAACAGACTATCTAGGGAAGTTGAGGAATCTCCATCACTGGAGGTGTTCAAGAAAGAGGTTGGATAGGCATCAGTCAGGGATGATCTAAGAGTAGCTATGCATAAGCTCTAGTATGGGTACTTTCTCATACTTCTGGGCTTTGCCAATCGCTACCTGGAGCCAGGAAGATTTTTTTCCCCCCCTTCCTGTTGCTACAGGTGTTGGGAAGGGGCGTCTTCCTCAGCAGCACTGTACATTGGCTGCAGCCAATACTGGGGATTGTGACTGGGCCATACTAATGCTCCTACTGGCACAAAACCCCAGAGGTCTTGCCCCTCTCCCCAGGGTCAAACCAATCATCACACTGGGGTCAGGAAGGGATTTTACCTTATAGCCAGACTGGTATGAACTGGAACAGGGGCAGTGTGTATGGGGCGCATGTGCACCCCCCGTGTGTGGCACTGCATGCCCTACAAAAAGCCTCTGTTGATATTTGGCAACGCCTGCAGGCGGTCACTGCTCACCACCCCACTGCTGACACTGCCGGTGGTGTCTACGTGCGGTCCGCGATCACTGCTGGCCGCCGGCAGCTTGTGGGTGGTTGCCACGCCACGGTCGACGTTTGCCACCCCTGCTGCCAGCAGCGTCTGCGGGAGCTCCACGCTTACTGTGGGGGGCAGGCTGCCTTCCTCTGTAGCAGGGACTGTGGCCTTTTCTTTGAATCTTTAAAGAGTATTTTAACAACTCCCGCAAGAGCAGGACACTGGCCACCATTGTCTTCCTGCTTTACCTGGGGCAGGTTACAGTGCTTTGCTTTGTGGCTCTTTGGCAGGGTTGCCTGAATAATTTTAGTAACAGATTACACAAGGACTTATCTCAGACGGTTCAGATACAAATGATCCTGCCTCAGGCAAGGGATTGAACTAGATAAACCCTACAGGTCTGTAGTTAAGACGATCTAAATATAAGATCTGCATGCAACTGAACTAAATTAGCTTGATTGGCCACTTTTCTGCTCATTCTAACCCTACAAACCCGTGTACAGTTTAGCACTTAGGTCCATTTAACCCTAGTTAGCTTGATCTAAAAGTAACGTCTGTACATGCCCTCAACCAGTCAATAGGCTGATAAAAATATAGAGCCTGGCAGGATCACTGTGATCTCTGGGCCCAGAAACTGCAGAGGAAGATGTCTTGTAGGGACACTGTCCATGTACAGTGTAGTCCCCCTTACTGGTCTGAAAATATTTCTGAGCCATTTGTGTACAACCAGGAAAAAAGTGGCAAAAATGTTTGAGACCTGGAACAAAAGAGATCAATGCAGTAAGTCTGAAAACAGAAACAGACTACTGAGGGGCAAGAAAGAAGAAAAGAGAAACAGAAAAAGAATAAAAGATGTGAAAAGGAAAGAAGAGAGGACACAATGAAGACAGTAGAAGCAAATACATACATATCTAGATTTAAAAAATGGAAGCTTGGAAGGGAAGAAGAACAATATGGTTTTATATATTTTTAATGCCAATAAAAATATGGCTGGCAATTTAGAATGAAACAACTTACAAGTGACTGAAAATATTATAAGCAAACAGCAACAAGGACACCATTTTTACTTCTCTAAACAGAAGAGGACATAACAGCATACTCCAGCAAGCAAGTTTACCTGTACTAGCATGTCTCAGGTACATTTTTTAAGGTGTTGGTAAAGCCGTTCTCTATTAAGGCCCCTGGTTCCTAGAAAATGCTGGGAGGTTTTGAGTAGCTCCCAAAATCTGTGAAAGGCAGCAATAAGGAACAGCACTTCCATAAACACCCAGAGGATAGTTATAACATATCCTCTCATCTCTAGCTGTGACATATGCACCCAAAAGATACTGAAAAATAGTACAGAGAAGCCCATAAAATATAACTTCTGTCCTGGACACTAGATTTCTACTCGACATGCTATACCCTAATAACATACTGTACTAGTGAATGTGTGCACATGTACAGTTGATATCTGCCTGACCTAGGGCAGAGAAAACCCCTGCTCTAAATTTCCAAATCTGGTAGTCTGAACTGCCCATGACTACATCCAATTTTCTAGAGGTGCCAAACACCTACCACTCCCACTGACTTCCACTAAAAGTTCAGCAACTCTGAAAAAGCAGGCCACTTATTCAGGTGCCCAAATATTTCATTTCTAACCTTATTCAGGTCAGAAAATGTTGGCCCCTAACACTGCTCAAAGAAAATGCATTTAGCTCACACTAGGGTCATGGTGTTAAAGCTAATAGGCCCAGCTTCTCTCCTTGGCTCCTGCAGAGAGGCATATTAACTATAATTGTGATACCAAGAACTACAGGTACCTTAGGATCATGTCACTTTTAAGGGCATTTTCAAATAAAAAGAACACAACTATTGTAATTCATATTTCAACCGGTCTACAGAAAGCTTTCAAAGTTTTTTTTTCAACACATAAATTATACAAATTATGTTCCAGATCATAACATTGGAAAAGAAAAGGGTTAAATAACAACACTTCAGAAGCACTTCCACTACTATAAAAATACTGTTCAATAAACAAATAAGGACATTGAGGATTGTCTGGGTACCGCAGCCATTCTTCACATAACAGTTTACTGCTAGAATTATCACACTTGTTCATTCTTGTCAGCACTGCTTTTCCGTTGATACAAAAAAGTATTATTGATAAGTTAAAAACAATAAGTTAACTTATTGTTGCCAAATACTGAAAGTTGCAAGGAGCATTAGTTACACATGCATCTTACTGCGTTTACATCCAAATTTGACTGTAGTAGGGAAATTAATAATCAACTCTTACCTGTGCCTCCCCGAGGTCATTATTCACCACAGTAAAATTTAGGCCAAGTTCTTCCACATCCCCTTCATAGCTCTTGAGGAAAAGCAAGTTTTTGTACATTTCGGGGTCTAATGAAGCTAAGTGATGAATGTCTACATCTGCACTTGTGCCCAGCAACTTTGAGAGGAAAAAACTAGCAAATGGCAGCTCCACCAGCATATTTTCATACAGAGCCTAAAATTAAAAACAATTAAAGCCATGTTAGCTTTCCTGATGTGGACTGTTCACACCTGTAGAATATGTACCATGTGTTTTTTCTATTTCTGTAATTTGCCTTTAAGTGTACCTGAATAGAAGCTCTTCATGTGATGATATTCCACATGCCCTATCAACCTAAATATTCAACTGCAACCTGAAAATTGAATAAACCTACTGAAACATCATGCTTCAAAAGTTTATCAGCAGATTTGTAAACCCCATCACATTTTCATATTCTCCCTTCAAACATATATCACAATATTAACATACTATGCCAGAGAAGTTTAAAAGATCAAACATACCACAGGCAGAATATCTTAAATATCCCCCATCATCCATTTATAAGACAAATGGGGCTTATCAAAGCCAATATATATCCTCCTCCAGAATGTGTTCAAATTAGATTAACGGTATCATTTGCTCCACACTATTAATCAAATCACCCAGGTGCCAATAAGCAAATTCCAGATTTCCAGTCTTATCATTTAATTTGTCAGTTGTTTTATGGGTATATATGTCACTTGATTCTGAAAAGTAGCTTTGTGAAAATGTACCTTATACTAAATCAAACTACAATAAGTCTCCTGTCCACATATGAAATCAATGCTGAATATTTTGGCAAACAAAGTAAGTTACTTTTTTCTCCTGGTACACAAGAAGAATCAACATAGCTAAAAAAGTGACAGAAGAGGAAGACAACTGGATTCCACTTCTATTGTGCATCAAAAGGATTTTCTAATGTCCAGTTATGGGGTCTACTAGTTACACCTATGCCTTAAAATGAAGTCACTGGTGTGGTCACAGGCATGGTATGTAGTCAGTGGCATGCCACTGACTACATACAATATTGATGCATGGAACTGCATGAGAATAAAATTTGTAGACTGTAGTTCTGCTGGAAAAATATTTTACTGTAAAATGCCTGATCTAGAACTTTTGGAAACCACATGGATCTCTACCAATCCCATTTTTAACAAGTAAGCTGTATTACCAACATTTCAAGTGTGAGGCCTGTGGCATTTTTGCACGTTCCTAAAATATATCATAAAGTTCTTCCAGTTGGTCAGAAAAAACACACCATGAGGGCTGTCCCCAATGAGAAGGGGAGAAAGAGAGAGGGGAAAGATATTTTGAAAATATATGGATGATAAGAAGGCACAGCATCCAAACTTTTTCATAAAAATCAAGAACACTGAAAGGAGTCCTGAATGTAACAGACAATTTTTCATCTGCAGTCTAGCAATCGCATCCCCCATAGTACCACACACCAAAACCCAGTAAACAGACCAGACAAAAAGCAGCATCAATGAACATATGACTGTTTGCTCTTTTTTAATGTGAGAAAGCTTGTGCAGATATGTGTTACTCAATTCCTCTATAACTTGCTGCATTATTTTAAAAAAGCAAATGTAAACAAGAAAAACAACAAAAAATATGAATCACCAAGTGAGTTCCTAAAAAAATGTTAAAGAAGAACATACATAAACTGTTTAAACTTTTGAAGGAACATTTCTATAAGGTGTAGTTTGGACCTAGCATTACAAACACAGGAATAGTGAGTTCAAAGCCAAAGGGTGCATTATATTTACAACTATATGATTTATTCAAGGTGTGGAAGTCAAACCTCTCATTTGTGTAGTTGACTTTAAAAGTAAACTAGAAGTGTAAATCATTAATTTGAAACATATAAGGTCACTGTTTGCCATTCCTGCATTAGTAACAATAAAACCATTGTAATTCTTTAAATATATCAGACCTACCTGAATGTAAAATGGAATTCCATCTATGACTCATAAAATGTAAATGCAGAAGTATATATATATATATTTTTTTTTTTTACACAAGGCAGGTTTAAACCTTCAGAGCATTTAATATACAAAGACTAATAAATGATAGCACTAAAAACTATGATTGCATCAGCTAAATGGATTATAAATTAAATTTCCATAATGTATGCAACTGAAATACAAATGTGGACATAAATCAAGGTATTTTCTAAATGCAGGTTAATTACACAAATTCAAAAACTGTCTATTTTTATGCAAAATAATCCACTTAGCATTTTTCATATTGGTCTTAATTCTTAGCTACTTGCAACACTTGCTCCTAGAAGCCTATCAATAACTCCGTGTCAAGAAAAAATAGCAATAGGTATATTGAAGAAACTTGTATGTTATTTTTCAAGTGTCTGTCTTATATGAGTGTTTATTGCTAGAAATTGTGCCAAAATGATTTGAAATAAAAAGGATTAATTATGGTAGAAGCCTTTTAATATAAGTGAGTGCAGCAGCAATGCAATTAATGCAAATTGTGACGCTATCATGAGAATAAATGTGAACAACATCACAGACCATTTCTGTTGGCTGCCAAATAACTTCAGTAATTTACTACATTAAGAATCAATAAAAAAATAATGCTTTTCAAATGCATCACTATCAATCTTTAGGTAGTTCCAAAGTGAACATTTATAACTTCATCTAAAAACTATATAAAGCATTTTGAAGCCACCTTGCTTGTACAGCTAGATACTCACTTTAATTATCACTACTTATCTTAGCCAAGCATTTCCAAATATAAAAAAAGTATTTTTGGAAATAGCTTAGGATAAACTGATGATATCATAATTAGTATGAAAGCCAAGTTGCTGTAATGAATGTTTTCCTAATTAACTTTTTTAAGAAAAGCACTAGAATGCTGATAAAAATTTGCAATTAACTACACTTTGCTCAAAAATCTCAATTACAGTATTACCTCCCCCTTGGGATGAGATCTGTTGTAACCACTTTTCTGCCTGACTACATCTCTAAGCTCCCTCTGGACATTCCCTGGGGCATACAGCCCTAATGTACATAATTGATTGCGCCCGGCAGTTAAGTGTAATCTCTCTTGCTCCTATTATGAGAGGCCCAGACTACACCCGGTGGGCCCTTATTGTTCGTGACTTTGGGAATCCATGGGAAGATGGCACTAGTAGCCTAGTATCATGTACCCTGCCTTCTGATACCAACTGGTCCTTTAACTGATTTTCTTGCATAAGCTAATTTGCATTTATCTTGTAGATGTAAAGGCTGCAACACAGTGATTACAAAAAAAAGCGGGGGGGTTGGATATGGGACACAAAGGAAGGCTGTGGAAAGAGGCCGGCTATCATGGTGACCAAACAGCCAATTAGGACTCTCTTCCTGTCTAATCCCTGTCAGGTCAGGGTGTGGCAGTCAGCAAAGTAGTTGCCTGCTGATGATTGGCCGAGGAACCCTGGCAGCCCTGCTGCTTGCTGTTGACCAGCAGGGAGCAAAAAAGGTGCCATGTTTAAAACCACAGTTTTTGCTTCCCTGACAATCAGGAGCAAGCCACAAGCAGGGCCCCTCCACCAATCAGCAACAGGGGGGTGCGGGGAATCCTGCAAGATTAAAGGAGCCGCAGCACAGCCCACATCTGCCATTAATTCAGTAGGGCCCAGGTTAGAAGATTATTTGTTTATTCTCCTTCAGTCTTTTGTAATCTAAAATCACTTTTAAAAACCCACTGAAATGATCAACTGAAACACATCTTGGGTTGGAAGGCTCATCCAAGTGCCATCCCCAAGAAGGCAGCCAATGTCTCAAAGGCAAATAAAGGAAATGAATGAGCTTGAATTTGCTCATTTCCTTTATCATTTCTTTAACCCTTTCTGGACTAGTCATTTTCAAGCAGCTACCATTAAATAATACTTAGCACTTTCAGAGGGTAATTTATCTTGGAAGCTGTAGAACCATTAACAAAAGCAAAAAACCATTAGCACTTTCTACCTTATTTATTTTTTGATAATATTTCCAAGAGCGACTTATGAACAGGATGAAATACTCTTTAATTTTCTGGCCTCATGAAAAAAATATCTAATTAAAAAATGCATTAAAATGATGCTTACCCACATTTTCTTACCAGTACTAGTACTTACTCCTTTTAAAACGATAAAAAATATTTCTCAGGGACATGCCCATAAAGTGAGCAAATAAAAGAGCCACTGCTTATAATGCAAACATGAAAAATGTAAAAACAATAGCTGTGTAATAAGCACATTATTTTGACTACTGTAAGCCAGAACTCCTAAGACTGTCTCAATAAACCCAAAGTGTGATGTTATTTCAGGACAGTCAGGCCCATTCACAACATCTTTCTCAAGGAAATACGAGTTAAATGACAACGTATTTTTTATTTAAAATAGTGTTTGAAAACATTACTTTTTGGTCCAATATTAATGGGTTAATTAATCCAAGATTTTGAGGTTCGGTGGCTTAAATCCATAATTTAGGCACCAAGTGGCTTGATTTTCTGAATGATGTAAACACTGCCTTCTACTTTGAAATTAAGTCTAATCATAACTGTCAAAACAACTCTTTGCTAACTGTTGGCAAATGCTTATTAACATCATGAAATGGCCACTCACATGGTTTGCAGCACAACTAGCATCCTAAAGCTGTTAGGAGAAGTTCATTTTTTCAGATAAATAAAGTTACTGAAAATTGGTATTATCTTTGATTTCTTGCCTGCTGGAAATCTTGAAGGTCAGCAAGTACAAGTTCATAAAAGCTCCAGCCATTTGGAGGTAACTGAGTGTTTCAGATGTGAGAAGCTTGCTTGTCAAATTTGCTGCAGTCAGTGTAAAAATCTGAAATTGATTAGAAGTTGTGATAAGCAGAGAATGGACTAGTGTCTGACTGATGAATCTAACTTTAGGAGTTAAGGGATGTGGTTCTTAACTGTACACCATAACATACACTTCTAATAAAACTATCTGAACATTTCAGCTATGACCTCGAGCCAATATCTGATTCATACATGAAGATTCATCTTGAGACAATTTTATTTAAAAAACATTTTCATCACCAAAATTTTACTTAAATATTACTAGTGGTTGCATTACCCTGGGAGTTGATAATCCTGGCACTATCATGGCGTGTTATAATGGAGAGAGGTAAATATAATTCTAACCTGCA